GGTTAAATATCGACTTTGGTAGACTCAGCTTGCTTTTTAGCTTTTATAGCAATGATTAGGCTGGTCGATGGGGGAAGAATGTGATCAATAAATCACCCCTACTACTCAAGGACTTGTACTTCATTGTTCAGCAAAGCTTTGTCAGCCAGCCACTTGGAGCTTTACTTGGCAGTGTGTGGGAAGGAGGCCCAGAGACAGAGCAAATACCCTTCTCCTCCTGCAAAAGCTCTTGGTCTGGTGGAGGGGAGTAGGAAGAAGTGTGGATAACCACATGCAAGGCAGAATATTAATGTGGCCGCCCATCTCCTCCTTCAGCAAGGCCAGCTTCTCCATCAGCCTCCAGCTCTGCCCTCCTCGCCAAGGTTCCAGCCCCGCGTTCCCAGTCATGCTCTCTGCTGTAGCCTGGGCAGGTCCCACCCTACTCCCTACTGACTTATTAAGAACTTATGTGTCCATTCATTCATTAAAATAGTATTTGAATATATATTATGTGCCAGCAAATAGGACAAGGTTCCTGTTCTCATGGATCTTTTAATAAAGGGCTGGTGGGGAAAACACATTGACAAAACAATGCTATGAGGGTAAGGACCATAATTGTAGGAAAGTTTGTATTTTTGAAATGTTCTAGGCAAGGAGGATTTCCATGGTGTTTATAGGCTTATATCAGGATATAGGTTATTTTATTCAGAAATGTGAGCCAACTACATAGACAGACACACACACACACATATGTACACACATTGCTCCTTTCCTTTTGCTGTGTTCCATAAAAACAACAAAAAAATTATTTATGGCACACCATGTGATGTTTTGAAACATGTATACATTGTATAATGTTTAAGTCAGGGTAAACTTCCGTGTCTCCTCAAAGTATCTTTTCGTTATGATTCAAAATTTTATGATTCTTTATGATTCAAAATCATGTTCTCTAGCTTTTTTAAAAAAAAATCTATTTTTTTAGTTATAGTTGAACACAATACCTTTATTTCACTTATTTATTTTTATGTGGTGCTGAGGATTGAACCCAGTGCCTCACACATGACAGGTGAGTGCGATACCACTTGAGTCACATCCCCAGCCCTGTTCTCTAGCTTTTTGAAATGTATAGTCCATTATCGATAGTCACCCTACTGTACAGTGCTTGCTACACCAGAGTTTCTTACTCCAATCTAACTTCGTATCAACTGATCAACCTCTCCTTACCATTTGTCTCTGTTCCCTTCTTTACCTTTCTGACAACTTTATGATTCCTTGCCCAATTAAAGTTATGCCTGATATGTAAATCAATGGATGTGTAACTGATGTGATTCTGCAATTTGTATACGGGGTAAAAATGGGAGTTCATAACCCACTTGAATCAAAGTGTGAAATATGATATATCAAGAACTATGTAATGTTTTGAACAACCAACAATAAAAAATTAAAAAAAAATCCATTATACAAGGTCAAGGCCAGAATATATGTTCCAACATGCCATCAATTCTCTAGTAATCATATACTATTTTTTAAAAAATCAATACTGTGGGGTCAGCTTGCGGTATAACACCCATGGAAGAGAACCTTTTGTGGAATTTATTTTCCATTACATTTTTGTCCAGTGCCCTAAATTCCAGAAGAAGTTATCAGCTTCTTACATTCTGATTCATTCTCAGGCTCTCCCCCTCCCCCATCCCTCCAGTCACATCCTTTGAATATGAAAAAGCTATATTCAAAGCTTAATGTATTCTTTCTGAAAAACCTTTAAGGCCATCTTCATAAGCACAACCATTTCTTATTTAATAAACAATCTCTGTCTCATTAAATGTAAATTAGTCCTTTATCCTTAGCTGTATTTGTTGAATCTATTACTTACTGTGTTTACCAAATTTGTTTCCTTTGGCTCCAAAGCTTTCTGTAAACTACTCATAAATATGAAGTTGAAATGAAGGCACTTTCTCTATGTTGAAGCACCTGCAATTAAACAGTTTGGAACAAAAAAAAATAATAATAAAGTTATGCCTGGGCTGGGGATGTGGCTCAAGTGGTAGCGCGCTCGCCTGGCATGCGTGCAGCCTGGGTTCGATCCTCAGCACCACATACAAACAAAGATGTTGTGTCCGCCGAAAACTAAAAAATAAATATTAAAAAATTCTCTCTCTCTCTCAAAAAAAAAAAATAAATAAATAAATAAAGTTATGCCTGTTCAGACTTAAGATGTATCTAGGAAATAGAACTAAGAATTTTAGGTACAAAGCATTATTAACGTAGCAAACATAAAGAAAAAATAAGTTAAGAGAAATTGGAATTTTTTTCTCTTAGTAGATAAGCTTTTATTTCAACTTTATGTCAGGTTGTAAATTTTATTGCCCCATCTATCATTTTCCCTTAGAATTTATCTTTTTTTCTTCACTTTTTATTTTGAAAACATCGAACATATTGTAAAGTTTAAAGAATGAACATCTACATACTTTTTACTGAGATTCACTAGTTAATATTTTGCTTTATTTTTCTCTCTACAGACTTGATGTCTCATTTTGATGAACCGTTTAGCAATAAATTGTAGATACATGATACTTCACTCCTAAATATTTTAGTATGCACCTCCCAGACGTTATTTTCTAACCATAAAATCATTTTTATGCCAAAGAAATTTAACATTGATAACATAAGTGTTGTCTACCAAATAATCAGTATTCAGATTTTCCTAATGGTCCCCCTATTTCTTTTTAATCCATAATCCAAAGGTTTGTGTATGGTAGTTAGTTATCATGTCTCAAAATCTCATTAATCTATAACCATCCCCCTGATTCTTTTTCGTTTTTCATTATATTACATTTTGAAGATTTCAGCCCAACCATCTTGTAGAGGCTCCAAACTGATTTGTCTGATTGTCTCTGTACTATAACATTCAGGTTAAACATTATCATAAAAATACACATTGGGGGTGCTGTGTCCTCTGCATTAAATCACAATCAGGAATGTAAGTTTGTCCTATTATTGGTGGTAAGTTTGATCCCTTGTTTAAGGTGATATTCGTCTGTTCTCCTGTTTGAGGGTATCTTTCCCCTGCTGTGTAAATAAATCTTTGGGATGATAATTTGTGAATTTCTTGTTTCACAAAAACTTTTGATTCTAGCTTTCATTGGTGATCCTTGCTGAATCAGTTATCACATTGGTGGTTTTTGCAAAATACTGTTTTTCTAATTTTGTCATTCCTTCTCATTTACCACTTTTCTAAAGAAGAGCCCTTCGATACTTTTCACATTATCCTAGGAATTAATGGTTTCTTTATAAAATTTATTGTATTGTAATCCATTACTATATTTTAAAAATTAAGATTCTGTTGAGGTATGGTTTGCACACAGTGAAATGTACAGATATTAAGGTACAATCTGATTAGTTTTGACAAATGTGTATGACATATAGTGTCTACCCTATAAAGATACATATCCATTACCTCCAAAAATCTTTGGCCTCTTCCCTAGTCATTTCCTGAAATCTCACCCCACCAGAGCAGCCCTGATCTCATTTTTTCATTATTCTCTTTGATGTTTGAGTTGTTCCAAGTGTTGGCAGTGAAGGTCCCATCCATTTATTTCTGTGACCTTTTGGCATGTCCTCTTTAATCTGAGAGCACTTTTTCCCCCTTTTTAAATTTGTTCTAATTAGTTATACAAGACAGATGCATTTTTTGATTCATTGTACACAAAGAGAGCACAACTTTTCATTTCTTTGATTGTACACAATGTAGAGTCGCATCATATGTGCGGTCATTCATGTACTTAGGGTAATGTTCATCTCATTCCACCATCTTTCCTTCTCCCATACCCCCTCCTCTCTTCCCAGAGTTCCTCCATTCTCCCAACATGTGCCCCGCCCGCCCACTGTCTACCATTATCAGAGAGAACATTTGGCCTTTGTTTTTTGAGGATTGGCTTAGCATGATATTCTCCAACTCCATCCATTTACCTGCAAATGCCATAATTGTATTCTCTTCTAATGCTGAGAAATATTCCAGTGTGTATACCACAGTTTCTGAGAGCACTTTCTTGTTTTCATGTACAAGAAGGCATCTTATTTTATTCTTTTTGGAAGCTGAAACCAATAATAGAGATGATATTTTAATAACTTCTTTGTTAGTGAACTTTAGGTTGTTCCTTTTTTGTCCTTTTATGAAAGTGCTGCAGCAAACATCTTGGACACTTGTTGTTCTTGTGCTCTTCTATGAGTGTTTTTGTAGTCTAGGGCTCTAGAAGTGGCCTTTCCAGGTCACAATATGCACATTTACACTTTTGATTGATATTGCCAAATTCTTCCCTCTTCTCTTAAAAAGCCATATTTATCTAGTAAATTTCCACTGACATTACTGGTTTCCCCACAGCCTCACCAACACTGTTTTTTTTTTTTCCCTGTCTGTGCATGGTGGTGCAGAGTTTGAATTTAGACTTAGCTTTGAGCAAAATAAACATCCAAACCACCTATCCTCTTTTTGGTTCCAAGCCCTCCAGTTTTGATTTACATAGAAATGAAATCTCTCCTCAAGAGAGAAGTTAAATCCAAGGAGAAATGTCTGCCCTTCTCTGTATTCAGTGTCACAGTCATCATCAGAGCCAGCTGCAGGCAGAAGGCCTTCTTACAATTTTCATTCTGCACTGAATGTGCAGGGGAGATTAGAGAGGAGAGCAATGCTGGAGGAGTGTGGCATTGCCCCCAGGACATCTGGTCCTCTGCAGCCACCTTTAAACATTTGGTTCACAGTTATTGTTCTATATTTCTACCCTTAAATAACTATTGGAACTGATTTTTATTTTAGAATGAACCACGATGATTCTACATTGGGGAGAGCAGGTTTATTGTAGGCATATATGTGCGTATTCACTCTTGAGAACATATAATAAAAAAGCTTTTGTTTTATTTTAAACGTTGAATCTTATGTTAAACACTTTTGCAGATGAATTATAACTTTTTTCTTTTTATAGATTGAGCAAGTTATTTGAAAGTGTTCCTTCTTTTCTTTATAGGTGTTTGAAGCTGTGATTTCCTGGATCAATTATGAGAAAGAGACCCGTTTAGAGCATATGGCAAAACTGATGGAACACGTCCGACTCCCTCTCTTGCCCAGGGATTATCTAGTGCAGGTGCGTGCTGGCCTGTCCACCGAAGCCTCAAGGGACAGCAGAGGCCACTCTGGTTGCATGGCATAGTTGAGATCAATAGATCTTCTGTGTGTGTTGCAGGCACCAACCAACTGGGTTAAGTTTGAAGTAGAGCTTAAAAGCATAGGTTTGAGGATAAGCTGTGTAGGTTTCAGTCCATGCTCCACTACTTACTCGTTTTGAGTTTTTATTCAAGCCTCAGTATCTCCTTCCAGAAACAAGTTGTCGGTATGTAAGCCTGAAGCCTGGCTTAACAAGTGTTCTATAAAATTAGCTGCTTTCCCTATAGATGCCCAAAGCCAGAAAAGTCATTTTCATAATATTTCTTTGTTACCCTTCTGCTCTAAACAAGTTGGAGCCCAACTCAGGACTGTGAAAATCAGCTTTTCACAGGTGCCTAGAACACAGACTACCTCTACTTCTTCCAAGAAAGGAAAGAAAATTTTAAAATTATAGGATGTCCCTCTAGTGCCACCTATTTCCTTACTTAAACCTTGTAATCAGCCTGTGAGGCAAATATTACAACACTCTATTTACCACTTTGGCCCTTGAGGCTGTGGATTGGGTTGCCCTCAGGGGTCACCAACCACCTGGGGAGAGTCAGGATTCAAATCCACAGCAGCCAGACCCTGAGGCACACGGTTCTGCCAGCTGCCACCTTTGTTGCTCTTTATTCCATTTCCCCATTACATGGCTCATTTTGAACAGTAGTAAGTGGCATTAGATACTCTTACAAGCAGGGAGTCAAAGCTTAAAATATGTGAACCAAACTAAACATTGAGGAAGTAGGCCACCCCTCAGCTGTCCTGGAGGGTCTCTGGAAGGAAGGAAAGGTATGATGCAAGAATAAATGAGGAGGCTTAGCAGTCTGACAGCCAGCTCCTGTTATCCTGTGCCATACTTAACCCCTTGAAACCTCAGTTTTCTCATCTGGTCAAAATAGCACTTGCCCTGGTAGGATTGTTTGGAGCAAAATGAGATGGTCCACATAAAGCCTGTCACACAGTGATCAGTGAATACTAGTTAATATTACCACTGTCCTTGGGACTATGAGTACCATGCTGTTCTTGTGAGCACTTGTAAAGTCCTCTGCTCCTGACGCTGCTGGCCATAGGCCTAAGGGGTCAGTACAATGTCCTCTGAATCTGTACACCTCAGCCTTCTTTGCAGCACTGAGGGACACCCTTGAAACCTTTATAAGGACCCTGCATGCTACCTTGGAGGATACTAGTGCCACCTGGTGGCATGGTATCCCTGCTGTAGGAAAGGGAAGCAGAGGGACTGATTTGCCTCTCATTGTCACAGTAGGTTTTCCCACTGTCCTGTGGGAAACTGACTGAAGGCAGGGTGGGCAGCCAGGGACCTGGGTTCCAGTGAAAGGTAAAGGGGACTTAGAGACCTCCATTAAGTGTCCACGACTAACAAAGATATTAGGAGATAGTTCCTGGATTATTATGGCAAAATACAGTCTGGACCTGGAAAAGGAGGAGGTCAGAGGCACTGGGTGTGAGAACTGTTGTATGGGACTCCTTTTCTAAAAGGACTTTTATTAGGCCTCACAGGGTGAACACTTCTGGGAAAGGATGTTTCCTCAGCATTCATTTGCCCTTGAAACTTCAGACCTGCTGGGAATGGTTGACCATATAATGCAAGAGGAAGGGAGAGAGGGAAAACTCTTGCAACCAACACTGCCTGGCATCTGTGCCTCACAATAGCTAAAGTTAATTAGGCTTTTACTAAGCATTTTTAGATATTCTAAATTTATAACATGCTGTGTTTTGATAATAAACACATACACATATTTAACATAAACTTTGTGATTTTTTTTTTTTTTTTTTTGGTACCAGGGATTGAACCCAGAGGTGCTTAACCACTGAGACACCTCCCTAGCCCTTTTTAATATTTTATTTAGAGACAGGGTCTTTCTGAGTTTCTTAGGGCCTTGCTGAGGCTGGCTTTGAATTCTTGATCTCCCTACCTCAGCTTCCTGAGCCACTGGGATTATAGGCGTGTTCTACCATGCCTGTCAAACTTTGTGATTTTGACTGTTTTTGAGTATATGATACAGGGCATTTATTATATTCACAGTGCTGCACAACCATCACCATATCCATTTCCAAAACTTTCATCATCCCACATTGAAACTCTGTACCTATGAACTCTCTAGGGGGGAGCTTTTAGTTCAAGCTGAATGAATTCTTTGGGAAAAGTAGCTGCTTGAGCAATTTTCCTTTCTCCCTAGCTTTTCTAGAGATTTTCTCCCACCCCTTTTATTTTTTAACCCCCCACATTTATGATTTGTACCATCCTGGTTTAGGCCCCTAATGGGAAGGTTAAAAAAAATATATCTTTCAAGGCTGTAGGGAGTTTTCTTGGGGAAGAAGATGCCCAGAGGTGGCAGAGGCTTTGACTTGCCAATTCTTCTTTTTCCTGCCAGCTCCAGCGTTGCCCAGTGGATGATGACCCTGGCCCTATTTTCATTCTTAGCAATAGATGGGGTCCCAGGAGAGGCTCAGCCAGGCCTTGTGCTGATTGTTTGGAGGGTTGAGATGATTGAAGTGGGAGCCCTTTCTCATTCTGTGATTGGACTTGAATCAGGTCCAATCCTCAGGTCAGAAACCTTGTCTTATTCATCATTTTCTTCCTGGGGGCCAGCACAGGGCTGCCCAACCAGGAGACATCCAATCAGTGTTAGCTGTTGAATGGAATTGATGTTTCCCACCATCAAGTGGCCTCAGAAGACCCTGCTGTTCATTCCAGATATGTCACATAGTGATATGAACTGGGCTGAAGAGATGCTATTTAAGAGCCAGAGTACCAGAATGCACACTTGCCTACTTATGGAGCATGTAGGCTTGCATTTGCTGAAGTCCTGCTTAGGTCCTGAGGTCTGAATACCAGGTAGAGAAGTGAGATCCCAGCGTAGATGGGGTATCAGATGAGGTCAGTAGATGGGATTTTGTATAGGACATTCTTTCTGCTCTAGTGTCAGTACTCAGTTAGAGCCTCACTGGCCAGTTTTCTCCCTGAAACTTTTGCTATAAGACCATCTTGACCATCTTATTTTACCAGTGCCTTCAAAGTTTGTCCCTTGGATCCTGTCTTCTTTCTTCTTTCCCTCCCTCCCTCCCTCTTCTCTCAGATCTCTGACCATTTGCCCTACACATTATAAAGCATTCAAACCAAGAGGAATGCGGGAAGAGATTTTCAGGCAACTCCTTATTTTTTATTTTGCATAAATTCATCTAAACCTCAGCGTACAAGCAAACAAAACTAATGGGGTTCTAGGTGCTTTTAATACACCTGTTTTACAGACGAGAAAACTGAGGATCAGAGATGAATGGTGCAGCTGGGATTTGCATCCCTGTCTTAGGCCAGAGCTTGATCACTTAATCCTGTGCTCTTAAAATCCAGGAGGTGAGCACTAAGTTATAACTCTGTGGATCTTTCTCTTTGGGTGTGAGATGAGATGATACAGAAATGAATGAGAGAATGCAGGAATGACCCACCCCAGAGACAGGGCTTAAGAAATGGGGCCAGGCTCTGTTCCAGTGTTACCTGTAGGTTGTTACCTCCAGACAGTTGAAGAAGAGGCTTTGATAAAGAATAACAACACCTGTAAGGACTTCCTCATCGAGGCCATGAAATACCATCTGCTCCCCCTGGATCAGAGACTCTTGATTAAGAACCCTAGAACCAAGCCCAGGACTCCAGTAAGCCTGCCTAAGGTAAGCCCCAGCCTGGCCACTGCCCAGAGTCAGGACCACATCCTAGAAAAATGCTTTTCCATTCACACTCCACATCCTTCCTCACTCCTGCCTACCCTACCTACATCTTGGTTGCATTTAAGACCTAGGACACAGAATCTGCTGGTTCCTTTGGCTAGTACTCCTCTCTTCTGGGGTATTCCTTTCCTAGGAGTTTCAAGGAAAACTCCAGTGTCATTGGGGGTGAGAATAACTCATAACTCTTCCATCCTGCCCCACCTTCTCATTTCATGCCACGGTTTGTGCTTCCTTCCTATTAAAAGAGGGATGGCTCTGTTGGTCTTCGCTTAGTGACAGCCATAAACATTCTTATAGTGTAAAAAAAAAAAAAAGTCCCAGTTCGGTTCCTCTCTCACCACAGGGAGGGACATAAAGGACCATTAGGGCTGCCAGAGAAGAGAAGGGGCCTTGAAGAATCCCAACAGGTAATGAAGTAGGGGGAGGAAGTAGGGGAAATGAGAACTTGTGAAGAAGCAGCCAGCAGAGGGAAGGATGAGCACAGGAGGGGACCCTCTGGTTGAGAGGCTTGCTGACTGCTTGGTTCTCGGTAGGGTTCTTGCCTCTGGCCCTCAGGTCCCTTATTTGCAGAGAAAGGGATATAGCAATTGATCAGTCTTTCTGGGATCCTGACATAGTGTTGTCTGGGGGAAGGTCCCAGGCAACATGGGAGGGAAGTTGGGAGGAGAGAATGACACAGTGGGTAGCACAGGAAATTATTTAGGCCCTTTCTTTGTTGTCAACCTCCCCTCTCTAGCTGGCTGCCATCCTCTTTGCCTGCTGCTTCTAAGAAAGTTCCGTAGGGATAGAGAACAATAAGTTTTGTTGTCCAAAACTTGATGTTGGGATTCTCTGAGGTTTGAAGTTCCTTCTTTACACTCTGTTCCATGACCCTGGATCATGGGGAATAGAGTAGTGGCAATGTGAACAACTATCACAAATGTCCCAGATAATAATATAAACAGCTGATCTTAAGTGCACGTTATGGGCTAAGCCCTAAGTGAGGGTGTCACATACATAGCTTTTTATTTTCATGATACTGGGGATTGAAACCAGGCCCTTGCACACACTGAGGAAACACTCTACCACTGAGCTACATCCCCAGCCCCTTCTAAAATTTTTATTTTACTTTGAGTCAGGGTATTGCTAAGTTGCCTAGGCTGCAATCCTCCTGCCTCACCCCCCTACCCCCCACCCCCCCTTGTCATCCCCCCTCGCCCCAAGTTGCTGGCATTACAGTGTACATCACCATGCCCAGCTCACATGTGTATCTCATTTAAACTTCACACCCCAAGAGGTAGAGACAAGTTATTACCCAGGTCTACAAAGAAGGAAATTGAGGTGATTTGTCCTGACATCACCACTGTTAATGTGGTAGAACCTATGTTTTCACTGAGTCATCCTCACCCTCCAAACCCTCTGTGAACTCTGTCCTTCTGTACCTAGCTTTGCCTGTGTATCTGATAGTGTACACTTAGTTGTCTTCCCATGTGTCCAGTGCTGGTCAGAGGAAGGTGCAGCCTCAAGGAGAGGGCCTTGGCCTGTCTGGCCATTTGTCTGGCTGCAACTTGATGCCCTTTTTAATTTTGTTGTTGAAATTTTGCATTGAAACATCTTATTTTTTTTAAATAAAAGTAATTTAGCTTTCTTTAACAATAGAAGTATGTGCTCCTTGTAGTTTATTTAAAGGATGCTACAATGTAAAAATAAAATTAAAGTCACCTGAACTCTCTCCCAGGGACAATCACTGCTACTATTTTGGTGAGTTTTCTTTCCAACATTTATCTCTGTACACTTACTCACAAATAGATGAAAATGTATACTTTCAGATTAACGCTCTTGTTATACAGATTGAAATGTTTTCCCCCACTCAACTATATGCCATAGATTACTTTTAATGTGATATCAACATGGGTGAAACCAGCATTTAAATTGTAATGGGTACATAGTATTTGTGTTTTCTGTACCTATGTATTTAATTGTCCTCTCTTGGTGGACTTTGCAGTATTTTCCATTTTTTGTATTATGAACATTTCTGTGCCAAATATTCTTTATAAGATGACATTTTGTTTTAGTTTGCATTGCTTTAATTGTGAGATTAATCTCAGTTTCATATGACTATTGTCCTTTGTATTTCTGTTGGGGGGAATCTCTTTTTGTGTCCTTGCACATTTTTCTGTTGCATTGTGTTTTTTATTAATAGTTTTAAAGGGCCCTTTCTACATTAAAGAGATGAGGCCTCTGTATGTATGTACTTCAAGTATTTTCTTCTTAGTTTACAGGTTACTTCTTAACTTTGTAGTATTTTCTCCCAATCTGCCTTATCTTTTCATTTTCTTAACAGTATCTTTGGAAGAGCAGATTTAAATTCTTTTTGATAATTTGAATTAATAGGGAAAGATTATATGTATTTGTCATGTACAACAGGATGATTTGAAATATGTGTACATTGTTGAATAGCTAAATTAAGCTAGCTAACCTATGCATTACCTCACATACTTATCATTTTTTAGAGTGAGAACATTTAAAATTTACTCTTTTATTGATTTGCAACAATATAACAATACAACTAACTATAGTTACCATATTGTACAACAGAGCTCTTGAGCTTATTCCTCCTGTCTAAACAAAATTTTGTATCCTTTGATCAATACCTCTCCAACCCTGCTCCTTCCCCTCATCTCTTAGGAACCACCATTCTACTCTGCCTCTGGAAGTTTGCTTTTTCAAGATTATGCACCTATGAGAGATCATGCAATATATGTTGTTCTGGCCTGGCTTCTTTCACTTATGTCCTTCAGATCCAACTATGCTGTAAATAATAAGGTGTACTTCTTTTTAAAGCTGGAGTGATATTCCACTGTGCATATACACCACATTTTTCTTATCTCCTTGTCCATTGATGGACAAAGGATGACTCTATCTTTTAGCTATTGTGAATAATTTGCAGTGAATACAGGAGTGCAGAGTATATTTGCGCATACTGATTTCAGATATATCCTCAGTAATGGGGTTGCTGGATTGTATAATAGTCCTACTTTTAATTTTTTGAGTAATCTCCATTTTCTTTTTCATAATGGCTATACCAAAGTACAGAAATTATTATTTTTTTTCAGTTTTGTTGTTATAGTTTGTTTTGTATTCTATCTTTAAAAAAAATCTTTGTCTCGCCTAACATCACAAAGATTTTCTCCTGTATTTTCTTCTTGAAGTTTCAAAGTTTTAGATTTTACATTTACGTCTATAGTCCATTTTGAGTAGTTGGTTTTTTAAAAATATGGTATGAGAGTTAAGAATCAAGTTTGATTTATTTTGCATGTTAATATACAGTTGTTTCATACCATTTATGGGAAAGATTCTTCTTCCATCAAAGTACTTCACTTTTGTTGTAAATTATTAATTAACACATAATAATAATATATGTGTTAGTCTATTTCTGGATTCTGTTCTGTTCCATTTTTCAATTTGTCTGTCTTTATACCAATACCATGTTGCCTTGGTTACTAACTTTATAGTAAGTCAAGATAGTATGAGTTTTCCAGTTTTGTTCTTCAAAGTTTTTTTTTTATTCTAAAGTCCTTTTAATTTAAGAATCAGCTTAATTATTTCTACAAATAAGGTATGCAGATTTGATTAGAGTTATATTTAATCTCTAGGTCAATTAAAGGGAATTTCCATCAATACTAAATCTTTTGATTCATGAACACACCATGTATTTCCTTTCATTCAGATTTCCTTTGATTCCTCTCACTGATTTTTTTTTTTTTTTGGTAGGGATTAAACCCAGTGGCACTTAACCACGGAGCCACATCCCCCAGCCTCCCACCCCCCTTTTTAAATTTGTTTTTTAGTTGTAGGTGGACACAATACCTTTATTTTATTTATTTACATGTGGTGCTGAGGATCGAACTCAGGGCCTCACATATGCTAGGAGAGCACTCTCCCACTGAGCCACAGCCCCAGTTCCCCCAAGCCCTTTTTATATTTTATTTAGAGACAGTGTCTTGCTGAGTTCCTTAGGAACCCACTAAGTAGCTAAGGCTGGCTTTAAACTTGTGATCCTCCTGTCTCAGCCTCCAGAGCTGCTGGGATTACAGGCATGTGCCACCACACCTGCCTTCCTCTCTGATGACTTATAGTTGTCCATGTATGGGTCTTACATGGCTTTTGTCAGATTTATCCTTAATTTTTTAGTAACCTCCATTTTCTTTTTCATAATGGTTATACTTGAAAGAACAGAAATTAAATTTTTATGCTATTTTCAGCGTCTTTAAATTCAAATTTTTAATAGTTTATTTCTAATATGTAGAAATGCAATTGGTAGAAAGGTTATTTAATGGAGAAGGAAGGGTTTAGGTGGTGATGACTTCACTGGAGTCTGAACATAAGGCAAGTATCTTCAGGAGATTGCTGAGTACCCCAGGCTGACTCTCTGGGCAGATTTTTTGGACTTGTCTTCTATAGCGTCAGTTCTTCCACTAAACTGTTGGTTCCATGACAGCAGGCATTACTCATCTGTGTCCTTGGCACCCAGCCCAGATCCTGGCACAGGGTGGGCAATAGTAAACATTTTCATGAATGAAAGATATACTTTTAAAGAAGAAATTTTATGGAGCTTTAGACCTTACCATTTATATCATCCCTCACTATTTCCCCCAATGCTTTTGGCATTTATACATGAGCTTTTGCATGGATGTAGTAAGTATTTATGTCTTTATAGTCTCTTTTGATCACTAATGTAGGTTGGGCCTAGAAATTTGGTTCAACCCCAAAGGCATTCAATATTGCCTTCATTCATGAGAGATTAGAAGAATTGTGAGGAACCTGGATTGAACAAACAACTTCCCTCTAAAACTCAGCAACAATCTATAGGCTCTCACATATTAACTTATTAATTCACTCATCTAACACACTTCTGTAGAGAAATCACTAATTGCTAGGGAGTGAGGTAGGTGCTAGTGCCT